ACAAGGCTAGCCTGGCCTGCTCTGCCCACAGCCCTAGGGAGGGGGCTGCAGGGGCACAGGCAGGGAGATAGCCTTTGGGGTCACCCTTGCTGCCCTTGTTAGAAAGCATAAACGTAGCCAGTGCATTGCCGTAACCATCCTAAAATAATGTCTGTACGTGAGTGCTGAGGAGCGGGCCTCCATTACTGCTCCAAAGTGCTCATGCTGCTGCAAACCAAGCTACCTATCAAGCACCTGATTTTACAAGCCCATTGAATATAAAAATATCTTGGCATATGCAGCATTTCCAAATGTCAAATCATGCAGTCCTCACTCTGCAGAACTGGAAAAGAAAAGCGAAAGGTAAAGAGAGAGGAAAGTCAAAGGGGGGGAGCGTAAGCAGGAGTGTGCTCCTTTGTATGGAACAGCCTGAAACAGGTTTTCATCTTGGTGGCTTTGGGGGAGAGGGGGTATGTAGGAGGAAGTGGATTTGTGCTCAGCACAGCCATTAACTCTAGTGGGTTATCCATGCAAATCCTCCACATGGCGAGAAGAAAATAAATCTCTGTGTGTAAAGCCTTAATATTTGTTAAATACGAAGTAGTGTGAAATCAATTCAAACAGCCTTCAACCTTCCTAATCTTTTGTTAACCATTATGTGTGATTTTGTTATTAAATCATAAGCTGATGCTGAAGAAATTTATGGGTTGGAATTAGAATAAAAGACTGGGCTCTGCGGTGTTTGCGGCTCAGTGTTCAAGTGCAGTTCTTCAAAGTTATAGGATTTTTTTTCTCTCTTTTACCAGTTGCAGCTTTATATCAAAGCAAGCACTGAAAGCCACTCAAATTCATAAACATTTCTTTATACATGATCTGGATTTTTTTTTAAACTCTTGTTGATCACCTTGCAGAGCCAAATTTTGGTTGTATTGAAATTGGTGGGAGTTCTGCCCGGGAGAACAGCAGGATCCCAGTGAGATTTATGCATGTGCTTGATGCTAAGCATGTGATAGAATTGAACGTAATGGAAACATTTCCCAAATGGGACCTAGGAATGAATGTGGTCCAGGGAAAACCTGTTTGTAGCACTTGCCATTGCTAGAGCAAAATCCTTTTGTTTTCTTCACTGCTTCTCAAGCACACTTCTAATTATTGCAAAATACATTCTGAGGAGTTTAATGAAGAGCTCTGTTTCACATGCTTGAAATTAGAGAATAACTCCCTTGGTACTTCAGTTCTTGAATGTTCAGCCAATTTGCAGGTGTCCTGGCCTCATTACTGACTGCACTACAGAAGCAGGCTATTTTCAGGTGCTTCCAAGAAAACAGCAGCTCCAGCATCGTGGTGGTCGGGCTTTAACACTAGCACACAGCTTTGTAGATTTGTATGGATCATTGCAAAAGGAGCCAAGGGTCAGTTTGGATTTCTGTGCTTTTCACTTGCTGCCTGCCTGTAGGATCTATGCAGGCCTTAAGAAAATCCAGTGAGGCTGTGCACAGGAACTGCAGTTTGTCTTGTCTCTGTGCCTTGCTTATAGTTTCTGGTATTTGCAAAGTAGACCCTGCAGGTGAAGATTGTTTGTGACAAGATAAGAAAAACTGATGCTCCACTCAGATTATCTGATGGATTGGGCAGGGAGAAGGAACAGAGAAAAGAGAAAAAAATACAGAGAAAGAGGAAAAATAAACAGCCTGACAAGCAACTCCCTCTAGCCTTAATCACTCCGGCAAGTATTGATCACCCTGGCTCTTGTTCGGAGGGATTGTTATTGCAGCACCACACCCTGCGTGGGAGCCTCGAGCCGGCTGGTAGTTCAGTAGTCCCATACCAAGCAGGGGCCTCTCCTGTGCAGCGCGGTGCCTTGGGTAGCATGTGTGGTGGGGATGCCAAATGCTGAACATGTTTTCAGGGTGTATTACTTGCAGACATGAGCTGCTAGGCGGTTTGAAAGCACCGAACTTGTACACATTTCCTGCATCTCAGAAAGGGGGACGGGGATGTGAACAGGTTGGGGGAGATCAGAGGAAGAGACGCTATTAGGGAAGGGGGAGTTGGGGTGAGCTTCCCACTGTATTACCCATGTGGATGTATCACTCATGCAGCCACTAAAACACACCATTTCTGGCAAGATAACCTAGGGATTATATAAATGAAAAATAGATTATCATACACGGTGACTTCCTGAATTATAACGAGCTTTACTCCCAGGCTTTGAGAAACAATGCATGAATTGTCTTATTTACTCTCCTGTGCTTAAATAATTCCTTTTGTTTTCACAGGCCGATGCTGGCTGGATGCTTTGGAACTTGCCCTGCGCTGCTCCAGCCTCTTCCGGCTCAGTGCCTCCAAGCAGGGAAAGGATGGAGAAATGAACGGCTCGAGTGATTCTGCGCATGTGGGGCTCAACCACCTCTTGCACACAAGCACTATCTCAGACCAGGAGTTCTTCCAGTAAGATGGGGCTATTGCTTCTTAATGCACAGAGAGGTGTTGCATGGTTCACACTTGGTCATTGTTTTAACTTTAGCACAATCTAGCCAGAGTCCACTAAGGAAACCTGTTTAAAAACCAGCCTGTATGTTCTTCTGCTGCACCCACCACTAATATACAGGTTTGGCACATATGGGGTTCATTGTCACGTAATGCTTGAGCACACAGACTGGGGGAACCTCAGCTGTGTTTGTGTGTGCATGACAATTTTATTCTGTCCCCTACTTGGGCCAAAATGCTGTCTGGAGATGCTGGCATGAAAAATGGCTTGCCTGAGTAAAGGTTGCAGAATCTAGCTACTAGAGTAGACCTGTAGTTACACTATCACTAACAATGTCTGGCTGTTGGCTAGCACATACGGCTCTGAGTCTGATCTATTTTTTAATAATCTATTTTTTAATAATTTTCTCTTTTCTAGTAATACCGTGTCATAGTCAGCAGAGTGCACACACTGCCTCCTTAGTTTTATAATTGCTTTCTCTCTCTACGGAGGTTTTGAGTGGTTTCCAATTTCTTCCTTGGTGCATCAGATAAATTTTTGCATAAGGGAGAAAAGTCCCCACAGCCTCCTTTCTATTCACATTCCTAGTATTGCTGCAGCATTTTGGAACAACTCACATCAAAGCTCTGTAAGCATAGAAAACCTCAGGCCTTTATCTATGAGCACATAGCTAAACAGGCAACTTTGGAAACCCTTCTGGAATAGACACTTGGCCCTTGGAGCGGGAACTGGGAGACGTAGTGTCTATTTCTAATTCTGCTGACACAAGTTTGACTCTTAGGGCTCACAGGGTGTCGAAGTATCTCTGGTCCCATGGGACCAAAGGGATGGCAGCATTTTGGTCTGCCCTTTGCTGTGAAAGGCTCTGGTATTCCCAGCATGTGTTCTCCAGTCCTGCTGTTTGGGTTTTTAGCTAGAGTTTGAAGAAGCAGCTTTACTGAAGAGCAATGGGAAAAGAGAAGGAAATCTGATGTGTTACCAAGAACATATGCCCTAGTACTTGTGCAAATACTTCTATTGTTCTTAGGCTTCTTCCGTAATACTTCACTTTCTAATTTCTTTCTGCCTAAGAGAGAGTGGACTCATTTTTCAGCTGATGGATGTGTGTACAGAAGGCCAATATTAAAATGGAGCCTGTGGCACTGAGAACATTCAGGCAGACCCATGGCTACTGTAAGGAACTGTAGAAAATAGTTAAAACTATATTAAAGTATTTCTTCAAAATATGATGCGTAAATGACGATTAAATGATGCCTCTGCTTCACCTCTTAGTTGTTCAACACTGAAAGCCCTCTTGAATTGTGGGGCTCAGCAGTGGCAGATTTTTCATCAGGACAGAGTGCCCACAATTGGAAGCAGATTTTTCTGACAGGATCAGATTTTAGCTGAGTTTGGTTCAAGCTGCGTGTTCACCGTCTGGTCGTCTGGACCATACGCTCTCCTTCCTCAGTCCAGCCATTGGTTTTAATGTGTACCCAGACTTTCCCCAGTGCTTAAAGCCCAGGGGAGTCTGATGGTTGCAGGACAGGAGGACGACTTGCTGTCATCCCTTGGAGGAATAAAGAACATTTAAACAAGGGAGAATGCAAAACCAAAACTGTGCAAGTGCTGAGCAAAGGGGTTTTGGTTTGCCAGTGACAGTGGCTTCCTCATAGGGATTCAGTCATTCTAATTAAATGTCTTCCCTACAGGGAATCTTACCAATTAAATTGGCACGCTGTTGTTAGGGGGCCAGTTAATTACATTTAACTCTATCTTCAAATTAGCCAAACTACTCTGTCAAGCAAAGGAAAAGAAAAGGGAGATGATGTATATTATAGGGAGAACAAAACCCAAGGGAGCTGGCAAAGGCAAATCTTCCATTGAGCCAAAGTTGCATTTGTCTGCTGGCTGCCTTGCGCCTTTCCTGCTGGGAAAGAAGTCAAGATTATACAGTGATTTTAAAATCTGTGTCTTCAATAGTGTATAAAAATGAGAGGGAGAGAACTGTGCAAGTGAATCAAAGGCTGAAGTACTGTATAAATCTGTGATTTTTAGACAAGAGGCCTTTAGGGCACCAGACACTCTTCTTTTTAATATGAAGTTGTATTTCTTGTGGCTTCCATGTCTTATCTCCAGCAACCCCAGGAATCTGGCTGGTTTAATTGTTTCACAAGAGCCAAAGGGGGTTTTTTTGCTTTGTGTAAAAGAGTATCAAACCCAAAGAAGTTCCCGGTCACTGACTGAAGTTTCCAGGAATGGCCCTAGAGAATAAAGCACTGGTATAAGACAGCTCCAATATGCTGAAACAGTAAATTAGCTGTGAAAAATGCCAAGTTATTCATGTTCATGGTGGAAATCCAGCACTGACTTTGAGCATAGTCATTCCTTCCCCACTTTTAAAGCCTGGTCCAAATCCCACTGGAAGCCCCTGTGAAGTCTTCACATTGATTTTGGTTCAAGCTCATGGTGTGGCTTTTGTTTTTAGCATGATGATTCTCTTTGGAGGAATAGAAGAGCCTGGCTTCACTTCAGTGTCTCAAATTTGTTCCTCAGAACGAGGAGCATCTGTTTTCCCTTTGGTTCCCCAGAGCAGCTCCTTGGCTCTGGATGTGTAAAGTCTTGCCTTGATTGCGGCTCATGGGTAATCAGTGCACAGTTGAGTAGGATTTCATGTGAATTTAATTCCCTCTTGGACTAAATCTAAAATCCTTAAAAAAAAAAAAAGGGGTGGGGGATGGGGGAGCAGAGGAAACTAAGAAAACAGTCATTTGCTTCACTGAAACTTCAAATATTTCCCAAATGTGAGGCAGGTAACACTGAAGAACACTTGCTCTTCTTACAAATGTGAAATAGAAACAAGTGCTGCTTCTCAGCCACGAACCATAAGCCTTATAACGAACTGTTCTTTCAAGCATTTTTGCCTCATGGAGAAAACTTTTACTAGGTAAGGAAGCATAGCAACCACAGACAAGCACTCACATATTTAGCTGAACATTGAAAAATTAAGAAATAAATTAGGTATATAAATGGTCAGCTACTAATAACTTTCTGGACCTACTATCCAGGAAGTATCTCTATCTAGACAGAGAGATCCCCTCCTCACCTTTTTTCTCCCTTCTTATCTTAAACTCATGCATGTGGTATACCTTGTGCTTAGAGTGCATTTGGTTATCAGTCATTACACTTGCTGCTTGCTAGCAAAAAAAAAAGTAGTAACATCCTGGCACGATGAAGACACATAGTGTCTAATAGCAAATCACTAGTGCTGAAGTCTAGTGGTCACTGACTCTCTGATTTATGATCTTGGTTTTATTTTACAGTAAATCTGTAAACTAAAGAACCTTGTAGTTTTTATGTATACACACACAGACATATATGCACACATACATACCTACACAAATGGAGTTACAAGGTTTTCTAAAGGCACAGAAAGCTGTAGACGACACTTTCAAAAGAGCTCTAGAAACTGAGCTTCTCCAGAAACTGAGCTGCGACTGTCACAATGTGGCTTGCTTGGCGTGTTAAAAATCACGAGCTTATTTCAGTGCATAGTTGGAAGTTGAGGTCTTCTGAAAAGCTGATGCCAGTTCTGTGTTCTGACTTTTCTGTTGGTTTTTTTTTAATCTGGCTCTACCTAGCAATGCCTAATTATCTTTTTAAAGAACAAAAAAAAGGAGAGGGAGAAAAAGGGGTGGGAACTTTCAGCATTAATCTGTAATGAAAACTGGAACATGCCCAGAATGGCCTGAGAAAAGGCCCATCGTGGAGAGACTTCAGGCTTGACAGAACATTCCCACATACTGAGGAGAGAAATCTTGTTTTGAGAGGGAGGTGGACTACAGGAAATAACCAAACTCATCAAGGTCCAGGGCCTGTTTAGATCCTCTGAAACTCCTTGTGTAGCTGGAAATCTTTGCCTATTGCTCTGTCCGAGAGCAATTTTGCGTAGGACTTGGGTAAGAAATTTTCAGAGGAAGGTCAGGCTGAGGTCAGCACCTGAGAGCTAGACTAGGCCAAGAAAGAGGTGATGTGTGTGCCAAGACATGCATGAGCAGGGAAAACTGAAGCCCATGCTAAATATCGCTTGAAGAAATGGGCATTTAGTGAATACTTTTCATCATCTGACCTCTGGCCCATCTAATCATGTTTGCCATCTGTCATATGAGCTGCATCTGCTTGTCCGAATGGAGATGCTATAGGCTACTTGAGAGAGAATTTTGGCTTTCTCCACATTCTCTAAAGCCTGGATCACTGAGCATGAAGCCTGCTACACCTTCCACACTTTCCCTTGGATGCTGTTATAATCTGGGTATTCTTCTTAGATGTAATTGTCCAGTTCATGCTTTCAACTCATTTCTTTCACACAGCATTATCTGGGGGAAGCACATTCCCCAGGTTAGTTTGGGGGTGTGGGTGTGTGAGAAAATACTTGCTTCTGTCGATTTTTAAATTTGCCTTTTCTAGCATAGGGCTGACTTAGGACCGCCATCTGTTGAAATAAAGTAGCAATAGTACTGAGAAGTGAATGTATCCCATAATGTCATATTTTTCCCATATGCTATAATCCACTGATTTGCTTCTGTAAAGGGAAAAACCTCTCCTGATTGACACTTCAGTTCTCTAATCAGCAGTGTACAGTCGTTAGTGTGTGCTCTGTATCCCTCCAGTATGTTGGCTCCCACCCGGAGCCAGCGGCAATTCTGCATAAGGGTGGGTAAGTGGAGCTTATGTGGCACATTTTGCAAAGTGCAGTTCAGAATTTTGATGGAAAATATCTCACTGTTTCCATGATAAAACCCCTGCTATTCAGGAAACCAGTTTCTTATACTCTTCTGGGGTGCACACCCTATTTTGAGTCCTGGGGGGTACTTTTACCTTATCTGAAAGGCCTTAAGTAATCTGACTTTGTAAATGAAATTGAAATAAGTAATGAACTGTGTGTTGCAGTTTGAATGAATCAGCCCTGGAGAACCACCACCATTTGGAAAATGATGCTTTTTCGGACAAGTCCGAGAGAGACAACATAGAAGAGTCGGAGAACGAAATGCATGAGAACAGCCGGAAGACAAATGAGAGTGAGAGCGATCAGTCAGAAATCCATGGAGAGGTCTCTCCGGGAAGTAAAGGGACGACTTATATTGAACAGATCTATGAGGAATTTGGGGAGGTAAAAGAAAAAAAAAAAAAAATTTTAATCGCTGCCTGTTTCTGTTAAAATGTCTGTTCTTAGTATTTGTCATTCAGCCTTTTAGATGCATGGCAGTTAAGAACCAGCTTTGTGAGTTCCAGTGTTTTACAGATGAAGCAATGCACAGCTTTCTGCTAAATTATGTTGAATTATCATGTGCTCTAATAATCATGCATTATGAACAGCAGCTCCGCTACTGTGCTTTGGCGTGTTTCCAGCATCAGCGATTGCTTTAACCAGTTATTGCATTAAAGAGCCACATAGCATTGGCACAGTGCTTTGTGGAGCCAGCAGGAGGGGGAATTATTATTCTGGGCATGTGTCCTGGCCAATTAGGATGCTCAGTTCTTGCGTGATACAAAATATGATACTTTCCTTTTTTCATTATGCATGGAACATCCTTTTTGTGTGTCCTAATGGAGCATTTGGGCCACTTGATTCCTAAATGACAGTTTCTTGTAGGAAAGCCATTTCTCTTGTTATTTAACAGCAGGAGGATGCGTTTCTGTTCCATATGAGAGCCTTTGTTAGCTGGATGTCACTGTGACACCTCTGAGGAAGGCAGCAGTAGAGAGCTGGGGGAGCCAAGTCTGTTGGGTGAGAATCAGCCTGGGCAGGCAGTGGAGGAGCTCTGCCCCAGCACTGGGAGGGCTCTGAGCACTCCCTTGCCTATTGCTTTGAAGCAGGAAGCTGAAGTCTTGTTGGTGCTTCAAAGAAAATCACTTTGCTAGAAAGCTATTTCTTTCTTAGAATCATAGAATCATTTAGGTTGGAAGAGACCTTTAAGATCAAGTCCAACCATTAACCTAACTCTGCCATCCCACCACTAAACCGTGCCCCTAAGCACCACATCTACCCATCTTTTAAATACCTCCAGGGATGGGGACTCGACCACTTCCCTGGGCAGCCCATTCCAATGCTTGACAACCCTTTCTGTGAAGAAACTTTTCCTAATGTCTAGCCTAAACCTGCCCTGGTGCAACTTGAGGCCATTTCCTCTTGTCCTATCGCCCATTACCTGGGAGAAGAGACCAACACCCACCTCACTACAGCCTCCTTTCAGGGAGTTGTAGAGAGCGATAAGTTCTCCCCTCAGCCTCCTTTTCTCCAGGCTAAACTCCAGTCCCCTCAGCTGCTGCTCACAGGACTTGTTGTCTAGACCCTTCACCAGCCTCTTATGCCCTCTTTCAATGTTTTCCTGAAAGTGTACTACTAATATTGAGGAAACAAATATAGTTAAATATATCCTAATTACACTCCATGTTTCACTGAGTGATAATTTACAACATTGAGAATGGGTAGGTGTCCCACATGCAGATTATATTATTTCTCCATAGACTCCTTATAGCAGGACAACCTACATGAGGGACCACAAAAGAATGTCTCTGCTATGCCACCTTGCAGAGGCACAGGAGGAGTTTGGTTTTGCCGCCTCCTTTCCACAGCCCAACCACCCCCAAGAGCAGCAGTTTGTGGTCTGGAGCCACCAATCCAGGTAGCATATGTTTCCTGTTGTTACGGGTGTCAGGTGTGAGGCGCAAGCCACTGCTGTAGAAATTGTGCTTGCAAACAGAGTTGTTGCCTACAGGGACAAAAAAATCCCCAAACAACTCTTCTTTAGTGCATGTCTTCCCTCAAATCCCACCCCAGACACACAGCAAATGGTAACTGGGTCCAAACGGGGGATTTTGAATACAGATGAGCAACTAAGCAGCAGCAAAATGAAGGCAAACTGAAAATAAAATAAATAAAATTAAAACTAAAATAAATTAAATTAAAACGGAAATAAAAATGAAATAAAAATGAAAAATAAAAAATGAAAATTAAAAAAAAAAAAATTTAAAAATGCAGTACAGACCAAATGGAAGGGACCAAATTTCTGCTGTAAAGTGACGCGTTGTGTAGAGTAAAATAAGGCTGACCACAGTGTGGCTGCACAGCCAGAGGTGACATCCAGTGGGCTTTCAAAATGAATTGCTCTGTAGCCTTGGCCACTAGGTGTTTTATTAGATTCCTGTCACCTGGGACACACAGGTAGGACTGATGGTTGAGTCTTATCCCTGGTGACAGGAACATAAGGAAAAATAGGTTGTATGCAGTGATGTAGTTTGTTATCAGCAACGGGTGGACATGTATCAAGATAAAACATGTGCCAACTAATAACATTAGCTGTCATCTTAAACTGAAAGTGCTGCCCCCCAGTCTGTGTGTGCAGCTCAGATTTGGCAGGACAGAGGTCACAGGTGCAAACTGTCACTGTTAAATTTCAGCTTGGCTTTGAAAGCTCATCTGAAAGGTGCGCACGTATGTATGTGCATCTGTATGCGTTTGGAAGGCGCGTGCTTGTGCACCTGATGTTCCAGCTTTGCCTGGTTTGTAGTAGGAATGTGAAGGCAGGGACAGGTGTCAGAAGGGCTTGGAGATTGCAATAGTTGGTCTAGAATATAAAAAACCTCCTCAGCAGGTAGATTGATAACGAAAAAAACCTTTTTTTTCCCCCAAGCTTTTAGTTTTAACAAGTTATAAAAAGGGTTATTGAGGGTGATGTATTTTAGGGGAAAGCAGACCAGAAATTACCTGAAGTTGTTTTCATCCTCCTGCCACCTTCTTCTCCTTCCCTTTTCATCCAGTGATTCATTCTACGTAACACTTTGTACAGCAGTTTCAGCGTGGCATTAATTTATATTGCCAATACAGGTACACTTGAGAACCTGGGTAAATAATGAAAGTTCTGTCAGAGCCATGTGTATTGTAATCCCTAGGTGACGCTGTGGTATTATGTTCTTTCATGTTTTCCGTTTGTTCTTGGGAGGTTACGGCTATGTATTGCATCAGACTGTGACAAGAATGGTATAATAGAAAAGCAATGAAATGAAAAGAGCTTCATTGTTCCTCAATCCAAAATTACCCTCTGCCTGCAAGCTGGCTTCAGTGTGTTTCTGCATGACTAGTAAAAGGGCCGATAGGGAGCCAAAAAGGTGGTGCTGGGAATGCTCAGGTGGTACAAATGAGTGTTTAGTGACTTACACCATCTGCAAATCCTGTTGGGATGTGCTATGTGTCCTCTCCCAAACCAAAGCCCATTCCAGAAGTGGACCTGTGCCCTTTTTCTCATAGAAATCTCTTGCCTAAAAACAAGTAGAAAGCCCAAGTATTATCTTTCATTGTTAAATCATGATGCCTAGGCTGTGTTAAAATGACATTCATGTTTGAAAATTTAGTCTCATTTTCTTTCTCCAGTTGCTTGAAAGGCCCATTCCCCCATGTTTAACCTCATGTAGCCCCACTGAATGCAGAGGAACTCCACAGTTATAGCTGAAACCTGAATTTTTCTACATTAATAATAGCAAATCTTACAGTGTCTCATTTGCTGAGGATGGGACTGAGAGGAGCTTCTTGTATGCTTCCCACCAGGCCGCAGAGATGCTGTAACAGCCTTGGGCAAGTCCACACTCCTGAGGGACTGCAGTGCAGAGTCCCCTTGGTTAATGTGGGTCCAAGTTGGTCCATCGCAGTCCTGGGGTACATGGAGGCAGTGGCTCCAGAAGGAGCACAGCAGAGGTGTGTTCTCTGCCTCGTGCCACCTCCTGCAGAGGCCCAGGGCTTTCTGTACCACTTGCTTTAGTGCTTTGCGGATTCACTTCTCCTGAGACAGAACTGATGTCTCTTTGCCATGGTGTATCTGAGCATTTGCCCTTGTGCCGGGGCCAGGTATGCCTGGGTGAGCTTGGACCCTCCAGGTAAATGCACCCGCAATAAATGGTTTTCCCATTTCTGCCCTGAACTTCCCTTTTTCCATCGTAGACAGGTGAATCGTCTCAAACAGAAACCGTCTCTGAGGAGAACAAGAGCCTGCCACGCTCGTTCCTTAACAAACTCTCTGATTACTACTACCACGCTGACCTGCTTTCCCAGTAAGCAGCACGCAGAGCGTGCCTGGCATGGGCACTTTTCTTCTATTTGTGAAATCGTGTGATGGTGTTAGCTTGGTGCTGGCTGAGGTGCGTTTTATGCTTGAAAGGCTCCCAGATAACACCCAGGTTGCTGGCTTCAACATAAATCAAGCCAGGCACCAGCTGCAGTGACCTTTTAAAGATGGACTGCTGCCAGTGAGGGGCAAGGAAGCAAGGAAAACAGTTGAACTCATGACAAAACTAACTTTGCACATGCACGTGTTTGCCAGCATTGGCTGGAACTGATGGGGCTCATGCCTTTGAGCATCTTGCAACAGAGCTGTGCCACCTTCTGGTGTACTCATGCACAGAGGGGAATAGGACACAGAGCAAACAGAATTGTCAGGAACTTCTGCCCCCAAAAGCAATATAATTATGTTGGTTGATAAACAAATAAGAAACATCTTTTAACACCATTGATGAGAGAGACCTGCTGAGAGCAGCAGAGTAGAAAATAGAAAATGTTATGCTTGCAGATAGGACCAGCCATCTCAAAGAGATATGCCTGCTGTATTTTCAAACCAGTGTGTGCAATATTCAAATAGCAGTTACTCATGTTTATTCCACTGCCTCTGGGTAATTTTAGAATCGTGGTATTTTCAAGCCTTGTTTGTGGTATTTGTAACCTCTGAGGTTAAGGAAATTGTTTTCCTCAGTGCTGAGATCTAAGAAAACTTCAAGAGATTTGGAGGTTTTGTTAAATAAACCTCTTTTTGGTACGGATGATCCTTCTAAATGGATTTTGCAAGAACTTACCCAGGTTGATTTTCAAATCTGACTAAATAGTTGCAAATACCAGGAACTCTGTGTTTACTTCCCACTTCATCTTTGAGCAGGGAGGCGTTGGACGAGATGACCTTGAGAAGTCCCTTCCAACCTAAATTATTGTATGAAATCTCAAAGTACTGAAAGAGACCATGTAGCGCATCAGCTTTAAAGATCGTTTAAGGAAGAGGGAAACAAAGAAAAAGAGAGAAAAAATAGAATTGTCTTTGATTTTGGTGGCAAAGTATATTTGGTTTTATGACTCACACTGTACTATTAGCTGTAACTAAATGCTAGTTGAATATCCAATCAAACCTCATGCGCTCCAGGAATTTTATTAGGCTTTTTGCAAAGTGCAGGGCAAGGGGTGCCACTTTTTAAGAGTTTCTCTATGTGTTGTATGATTGTTGTATGATGTACGTTACTAAAAAAGGTGTCTGCCAGCAAAAATAATTTTTTTTTCCACTGGCAGCAGCAAGGAAGTTACTTCCCTTTAGCATTGGGGAAATACTATTGAAATTAATGTTGTTATACTGGTAGGAAATAAACGTGATGTATGAACTGTATAAAGAGCATTTGATGTTCTGTCCTGCAGGGCTGTCCTTGAAGATGATCCATACAGTCGAATGAAGCAAGTTTTGAGGTGGTACCTGTCCGGCTTCTATAAGAAGCCAAAGGTAACAGAATGCATGAAGTTGGGCTTGTAATGGGCATTGAAATCCTCTGCTATGGTCGCGTGTTTATTGCCTTTCCTTTGACAATTTACCTCTTCGATTGTTTAGAAGGCTTTGACCATTACTTTTAAAACAGAATGTTTCACAGTAGACTGATCAACCTCAGTACCTTTCAACCGCAGTAGGGCTGATCAACCTCAGAACCTTTGCACTGGGCAGTTAGAAGGCATCAACAAGTAACATGTCCTCGGACGCAAGATCTTTCCCTTTGCTGAAAGCAGGTCTCCTTTCTCTCTTCAGGCCTGTCAGTACCATAGTGCCATATTTCCACATCAGCATGCACCTGCTGCATAGAGTAGCAGAAATAATAAAGTTTGGTCATCTTGTAAAGCTTTGATCAGGCAGTATCAAAGATTAAGTTGGTGAGAATAGCAGATGAATCCATGGCTCATTAAAAGATTAGATTAGGAGGATATAGGTAACCTGTTCTTCAGTTTTGATTCTTGTGATTGGCTTATCGGGGAGAAAATTATTATGTTTTGTGGCATTCTCTGTAGAGTTGGATCGCAAATCTTCATTTTTAGCAGGTTTTGATTACTTTGTTTTTTAGGGAATAAAAAAGCCATACAACCCTATTCTGGGAGAGACGTTTCGCTGCTGTTGGTTTCACCCTCAGACGAACAGTCACACATTTTACATAGCGGAACAGGTAAGTTGCTTTATTTGGATGCTCAGGTGTTGCAAACAGCAGCCTGCTTTCACCTTCGTGCATAGGAACACACTCCTCATCTCACCCTAGGAGAGGAACATGGAGTTTTGTGTGAACATCCGGAGTGGGACGTGGGGTAAACTAGCTGCTGATCTTTTGGCTTATGAGAGCTTTGGTGGGCACTCAAGACTATAAAAGCAGTTCTCCAATGTATATAACATTAGCCTCTTCAAACCTTTTCCATGGGATTCTGCTCTACTGTTTTCTTATTGTTAATAAAATACAGTTCGTGTTGCGTCTGTGAAAAGGGGCATAAAACACATAACCAAATCCTACCTTCCTTTATTTCTGAACTTTGTGATGATTTTAATAGGAGTAAATTGAGGGCTTATCTCTCTGTCTTTGGGGAATGAAGGGCAGAGCTCACAAGTAACCTGGCCTGACAAAATTTAGTTTGAGATTTACAGTGTTAATAAAGGGATCTGAGGACCGTGTGGACTTTGGTACGGGGACTCCCTGTTTCACATATGTTTTGTTCCTGTTTAATCAGAGAGTTTTTATTTTGTTTTATTTTATTTCAGCCACTGCATCTATTTTAAGGAGGTTATTCAGACGCTGCCAAAAAGTTCTGCACTGTCATTCATTGTGTTGAAAATCTGACCGTGTACCTGCTGGCCTAAAGTGATCTCAGATGCATAAGGGGTGGGGGAGAAAGTTTACATGTATAATGATCTCATATATAATGGTCTCACAGATAATGTTCCCTCCTTCAATATTGAGGTTAATGGTATGGATGGGGCTTAGAGGACTCCACTCAGTCCTGCGGCCTCCGTCTTGCACTTTCCCTGGAGCATGTGTAACACCGTGTGAGGCTGTGTGTGCACCCACCGTGCTGCTTAGCCAGTAAAGACTGCTGTGAATGACCTGTGCCTGTTTTCTTCCAGGTCTCCCATCATCCGCCAGTGTCAGCTTTTCATGTCAGCAATAGGAAGGACGGATTCTGCATTACCGGCAGCATTCTAGCGAGGTCCAAGTTTTATGGTAAGGCATTAAAGCCTTGACATCTTTCAGGTAACATCACGGCATTGGTTTTGGTTTGTTTTTCAGTCATTCCTGAGTGTGTTGAGAGTTAAGAACAAAGAAAGGCTTAAGAGTTCCACCACCAGGACACCCTCATTCCTTGTATTGGCTTTCCTGCGTTTTCCCCATTTCCACCATTTCAGTGGGAGATCACACTGATGTTTAAAAAAAAAAATCCGATAGAAAAATTAAGAGCTCTAAAAACCTGCTTTTCAGAAAGCAAAGGTTCATGAGAATTTATAGGTAATTGGTTGTCAGACTACTTTGCATGTGCTCATGGATGAGTTGTTTTATAGCTATGTGTGACCATCCAGCTGACTTTTGCAAAAGTCTCTGTAAATGTGATGTTTATCTAACTCCCAGATTTCTGAGAGTTGAACCCTACAGTTTCAAAAGGTCCTCGAATCTTTTAACCATAGTGGAGACAGCACAACTGCAGGCTCTGAAACAGCATTGCCATTTGGAATAGTTTTTCTGTTTAGGCAAACACCTCTCAAGTACTATCCTCTGGTAAATGTATTTGCTGAAACACTTGTAAATGGTCACTGCTGTCCTTCTGGCAATTTTGTTACTTGCAATCATGCACAATCAGAAAAGTTGTGAGAACAGCAAGACCTGAAAAACTTCTAAGCATTGGAACTGATTTCTGCATCCCACTAACAACTTCTTTCATCTACCGCCCTTTCTGCAACAGGGGCTAAGTGCCAGAGCAAATATGAGCCACGCAGCAGGGAGTTTATCAGAACTGCCTGCCTCCGACAGTAAATGATTTGCAGGGTCCTGATCTATTAGCATTTCCTATCTCTTCTTTCATTAGTGACCTACATTTAAATGGACATGTTTTTTAAAGTAGGATGAGAGACCACGTATAACATGCATTTTTTAATATATATGTATTTGTTCTTTTAAATTCTAGGTAACTCACTTTCTGCACTGTTGGATGGGAAAGCAAAGCTTATGTTTCTAAACAGGGGGGAAGATTATATAATTACCATGCCATACGCCCACTGTAAAGGTAAGTTATGACTGTTCAGATAGGAAGCAAAGAGAAAGAATAATGTAATGGTACTGTACTGACTAACTTTGTACTGGCTCTCTTCTTCCCTCCCGAATACCTGGACCTGCAGGGACGGGTAATTCCAGGGAGCAGTTGCTCCCCACATGAGTCATAGCACTCAGCGGAAGACTGGTAATCCTCACGGAAATCTTTTTTATTTGTCTGTGCGGAGCTGAGAGCAGAATTAGACCCACCTAAGTTAGTTTTAACATGATGTAGCAACAAAAAAAAATACCGCGTATATGTACTGCAGATAAAGTAAAGATGGAAAGAATAAGAGTACATTTCTGAGCTTCTGAGGATAAAAAGTTTTTCTAATTGTAACACTGAAATTGTTTAATATATGTTCTGGCTTTTTGAGAATAAAGGAAATTCCTGACTTCTCTTCTGGTTTCTTTGTTACTATAATCATGATACTGCACAGCGTATGAGCTGCCTCAGTGGGGCTGATACCTGTTACTCTGTGGCTGAATGTGCACTGAGGCCAGGGGATGGCTGCTGATTCACTGTTGTTGTTACTTTGCTTTTCTCCTTAGGACGCTAAGCATCGGGGGCATTTCAAACACAGTGATAAAATCACTCCTGCAGCAGTTTGATCCAATTTTGGTTTTCTGGATATTTTTGGGGGGGGCATGTTGACCTCTAAGTTAATATTTATGGAAGGTCTAGCTACCTGGAAACAGTAACTTCTGTAAATCACACCCTCTGTGAACTATTCCTCTGCATAAATATTTTTCTTGTAAATTTTTCTTTTTCTGCAAGTGACCGTTTCAAAAAATAGTAAGCATGTGTAAAAAGGAGTCCCCTACGTGGCTGGTAGTCTCCCAGATTCTGCTGAATCCCATTACAGCTCGTCTCTGCCCCATCTGCCCTGTGGGAAGCAACTGGGTCTGTTTAAGCACTATTATAAATGAAGTTGCTGGGCATAACCTCCCTTGTTTTTCCTTTCCCACTTTCAGCATGCCACAGATGCGCTGTCAGCACCTGTGAGTCGAGCTATTTCCTAGCTGGTGCAATAAATAGGGGATATAAACTTAGGGGAGGATCCTTCATGCTTATGGAGAGCCATTTCCTAGAAACTTTGGTTTCTGTCTTTTCAAAACTTTAAGCCAAGTAGCGAATTTCACAGCATGTCAGCAAGAGCCAGTTTGAGTTGAGAAAGCAGATCACTTCCACTGGGACCTCTTTTGAGTCTCTTTTTTCTCTTTCAGGACTTTTATATGGTACCATGACAATGGAGCTTGGAGGGAAAGTTACCATCGACTGTGAGAAAACTAACCACAGGGCTGAGCTGGAATTCAAGCTAAAGGTAAGAGATGTTGTGGCCCCCATTTTGAATGGGTCTCAGGCTTGCCCCTGCTCTCCAGGCAAGGTTTGACCATACACACCAGCTCATTAACGTACCAGCAATGTATGCATGCACCATGGGGTGGCCTGCCTGGAGAGGATGCATCATCCTGCAGTCAGTTTTGTCTAGCCCAACTCAATTCGAACCCAGGAAGCCTGAGTTCTGCACATGACTTGTTCACTGCCAGCCAGCTGGCTGCTGGCCAAACTCTGTTCTGAATGTTTGGCAATGACAGTGCGGCTTCTGCTTAGGAAGGTACAATTATTTTTGCTTGCAAAATACAGCGAGGTCTACAAACTACTGTGAGGCAAGTTAGGATGCGAATCTTCAACGTAGCTCTCCAGTAGCCATCTCATACATACTCTTACCTTGCAGGTATTACAATGAACTGTACCTTGTGTTTCTCAAGGCTACAGGACCTTGCCTTGACAGTAGGGTAAGAGTCCATTTTCAGGCAGATAATTTTGAGTGGCTGTCACACTGACAAGCCGCACTGTCATTGCCTTGTACTGACTTGTTCATGTAGCTATTCCCTCCCCTAGAAAGGCTGGTGATGCAAATGTATGGTATGCAGATAACATGGAGA